CTCCGCAGAGTGGGGTACCGTAGGGGGGTTGAGTTCACAAACGGCTCCCCACATCTGGCCATGCGTCTTCGCGAGTCCAGTGCTGCCAAGGGTGCAGGCAGTGGTCTGCTAAGCAGTAGAGAAGTGTAATGTGGAATCATCCTTCATCATGCTCCCAACACACTTGACACTGGTTGGTGCCAAGCTGTGTAGCTCCACAGCCCTGAGTGCTTGGTTCCAACAGAGAAGAGTTCTGGGGTGGTTCCAAGTTGAAAGGTGCGTTTTTCCTGCCTGGCGTGTTTTGGGTACAAGGTCAGTGCAAATCTTTATGTAATCGTACTTGACTATTAGCTCATCCCCTATGTTACAGCATTTCTTTCTGGCTTGGAAATGTGCCATACAAAAAGTCGAAGCTCCCACCCACAGATCACGCGAGATTGCCCAATGGTTTGATGAGCTCAGTACTGATGTTATCAGTCACCCGATCTGAAGCCAGCTGAGCATTTATGGGATATTTCGGAAAAGCACATCACACAACATTTTCCGCCTCCATCTGCCAGTTGTGATTTTGATTGACTTTCTCATGGAAGAATGGAATTCAGCAGGAGGGATGTGGCAGCAGATCTTGGCAGACTCTGTGCTGTGGTATATACAGGCTCTACTGGCTACACAGGGTGGCTTAACAACCTATTTAGTGATTTTGCAGCGGCATTTCAGTTTTTGGTCTGCTACAAAACCTGTAGATAAATAAAAGCGCAACCATGGTTTGCAGAACTTATAACAACATAACATAGATGGCTAGACCTCTACCACATCATTGCACTTTAAACTGAGAAACTACTTTGCTTCGACATTCCAAGAACTGATGTCTTAAATGATCAACTGAAGAAGCTACTTATCCCTAAATGAAATGGCAATAATTAATATTATTATACAGAATGCCTAAATATGCTTTGCATTGATGGATAAAGGGTGTCAACTACTGTACATGCTTTTAAAATAACAAAACTGCCATTGTCTGTTTCATGCTGTATTTAGGTTTTCCACAGTTGTGTCTGCAAGCGTCCTCAAAAGCACGCATAAAATCTCCATGTTTTGAAGCCTGTACAATCAGTTCTCCTTGAATCGCAGGAAAACAAGGAAATTAAACAAGCAATAACTAACAATGACATGAAGAGAGGGACGTACATTCAAGGCATGGGGCTTGCATTCATGACCTCACTTAGACAGGTACAGTCTTTTCATTTGACATCATTTTTCAGCGTATTCCCTGCATAATAGAATGCAAGAACATAATGATAGTTAAACTGGGTACACTTTGTGCTCAAGAATTATCAGTAATAGTCCTAGCAGAATAATGCATCCATTGAGTGGAAAAAAAGAAAGAAACTATAATGGGATCTTTCATATCGCCTTTGACCTGATGGCAAATTACTGTTAAATCCTACTGTGTTAACGCAGTTATTTTAGCAATTATTGTGGCCTTCAAAAGCTGTCAGAAGTAATGATAATTTAGATGTTGTTTAAGGTGTTGCAAATTGCTCTGAGCTCTGCTTTTAAACATGTATGCCTGATTCAAGGTGATTCTTCATCGTGGCTGTTCGTGAGCATTTAGTCAATGTAATGGAAAGTAGTTGAACGCATATCACTCTCAGACCTGCATTTAACTCTCAGTTAGACAGTAGAATTATCTTCAACTGGTTAGGATTACAATTAAAATGGTAATCAAGTGACGCATCCAGGAAAGATGGCCGATGTGCAGCGTGCTGTTAGCACTGTGTGGACTGCAGACAGTCAGGGTCTATTGTTTGCAGGACTGACGTGTCAGTCCACCCGTTCGTGTTAAACAGAATAATGTCCTGATCCAGCCCTTGGCAAATGAAGTTCAGCACCGATCAGGGCAAAGCGATGTGGAGAAGCAGTGAAAAGGCAAACCGAAAACCTGAGAAGCTGTGGGAAGTTCGGCTCAAGCTTTACCGACGGGTAACTCTCCTGCTCATAACTCACTAGTAGGGTGACCTTTCAGAAGTTCAGTTTTAGTCTCCGTGCCACATGATTGGACCGGATATTGTTGTTTTTATTTGAACTTTCTATGCCTTTGTGTATACTTTATGCAGGTTAAAGGAAGAGCTGAACGTCTTCAGTCTACAGCAAAGGGGATTGTGTAGCGCTTTCATACATTGTATAAAATTGATACAATTTATATTATTTATGCGATTGATACAAGTGTATAAAATCCTAGAGGGAATAGTTTGGGTCGACCCAGAGAACCATCTCGCACTCAGTGGTGAAACGAAGACACGGGATCATGATGAGAAACTGTGTAGGCTAGAGCATAGGGAAAGAGTATGGAGTGTCTGTAACAGGCTGTCCTGCCAGGTGTTTGAGGCCCAAACTCTGAGCTCCTTCAACACACTGCTTCTGCTGAATCACAGCTCTTCATCTGCAGTCTCTTAGTCTCCCATACGAAGTGTTTCTGGGTGTAGTACTTCTGCGATGAGCTCTGCTGACCCCCACTCTCAACATACCCTCTACAAATTGGAACCGTGTGGGTTTTTTTTACCGAATGTGTTAGTGCTGAATGTGTTAAAGTTTAACGTAATAAAATATGGGCCTCTGTTATCCGCCTTGTCCTTAAAAAAAATATCTTCCAGTATAGTATAAAACATTCTTCCAATATAAAATATTCACATATCTTCCATATGTGAATTTCACCTAATTTCAATGCTATAACAATAAAATGCCTCTGCACAGGCTCATGTGGATTTCTCTTAGCATTAAGACTCAGCTGGACAAAGATCAGCCTGCACACCCAGGTGTTTCTCTGGCATTTTCTGTTTGAAGGGTTTTATATCTTTTTATCAGCTCTCAGACCTGCCCTGTCCTTGCAAAACAAACATTTTAATTGGCACTTCTTCTCTCAGTGGCTGTTCTGTGAAAAGCTGATTTCGAAGCAGAGATTATTTTTTTTTAACTCTCCCCAGAAGCTCATTGGACATTTAATAACCGAACTCCTGTGCTGTAGAGAAGTGATGATTTGTGTACACAAATCTTGGCATGCATTTAAAGGAATCAATGTTACGACTGAGCTTATTCAGCCCAGGAAAGCTGCAAATGCTTTTTGGGTCCTTGCAAAGCGATTGTGAACCGAAGGTTAGAGTTAACGACCAAGGTTATTCTACTGTACTTGCTGAAAACAAGCCGATAGGTTATCGTGGCACAATCAACGTATTTTTGTACCGTCTTCTTCCAGTGAGGGTTGATTTGTTTTCCTTAACCTGTTTGCAGCACATCCTGTTTGGTGGAAGAACGTCGTTTGAAGTTTATCTTGCATTTCTGGTAAAAACCGAAGAAAAAGTGTTAAAAGACCTGTCTGAAGCACAAACCACTTCCTGGTGGCATTAAAATGAGCAGCTTGAAGGGTGGAACTCCAGTCAGCTGGGGACACCCCCCTCTGGTTGCTGTCTTGCAAAACAGCCCTTTCAGTGGCATGCTGCATGTGCAGCCATCAGCTTAGACATGTTGGTTTCTGCGTGTTTGAATTGGAATAAACTTCTCAGTTTGACAATTTAAAAGTGCGCTTTCAGGGTATTTTTTTATGGTAATATTTGAATGGCTGTATATGGTGAAAAATTACTGCAGAATGCGCTTTAGTTTTAGATTTTTTTGACTGTATACATGCTGCTTGCCATGAATGTTTCTGTGGATTCATAGGATTGTATTCATTTCTACGTTGTCATGTTTGAATTTTCTATTGTAAAGCTGCATATGCATTTTAATGAGAACCTGAGAGCTCCTTTCGGTTGTACTGTATACTCTATAACTATATCACGTAGAATCGTTTGTTTACTGGCACTTAACAATCATCATTTAAATCAGAATGTTTACATGTGTTTATTTACTTACTTCTGTTTGCTTATGACTGATTAGCACCCTCAGACAGACCTCTGATCCTCACCCACCCAGACACTTCACGCGTTTTATCAAGTGCTTTTCCCATTCTGTAGTCCAGATCGTTCTGTCACCCTGGCGGGTTGTGAAAACCGATATCGCAGCACGACCCGAGACATTCCTGCGGCAGCGCCTGCGTTAAGGCTGACAAAAAATGGAATTGAGCTTGAGAATAGCTTGATATTCGTTAATAATAATAATAATAATAATAATAATAATAATAATAATAATTGCTTACACTTATATAGCGCTTTTCTGGACACCCCACTCAGTGCTTTACAGGTAATGGGGATCCCCTCCACCACCACCAGTGTGCAGCCCCACCTGGATGATGTGACAGCAGCCATAGTGCACCAGTACTCTCCCCACACACCAGCTCTCAGTGGGGAGGAGAGCAGAGTGATGAAGCCAATTCATAGATGGGGATTATCAGGAGGCCATGATTGGTAAAGGCCAATTGGAAATTTTCGCCGAGGTTACACCCCTACTTTTTTCGAGAAACGCCCTGGGATTTTTAATGACCACAGAGAGTCAGGACCTCGGTTTTACGTCTCATCTGAAGGACGGCGCCTGTTTACAGTATAGTGTCCCCGTCACTATACTGGGGCATTAGGACCCACATGGACCGCAGGGTGAGCGCCCCCTGCTGGCCCCACTAACACCTCTTCCAGCAGCAGCCTTAGTTTTTCCCAGGAGGTCTCTCATCCAGGTACTGACCAGGCTCACACCTGCTGAGCTTCAGTGGACTGCCAGCTGTGACTTACAGGGTAAAATGGCTGCTGGCTGCCTTCATTAGCTCTTTCAGCAATTTTTTTGTCATGTTTATTTCAATGAAGAGCTAGTTTTATTGGTCGAAATACGAACGCACGCTTTTTATGCAATATTTAAATACCGGCTTTCTGTAAATTGCACCATTGTAATGGCGCTGCAGGTGGGGGAGAGAGAAACGCTTCTCTTTTTTGAGGAATTTGGATCCGTCGTTGGATGTTTTCTTGGCCTGCCGTCTGCCTTTACCGTGACACGTGCCGTGAAATGTTTTCGTTGACTTTTCACTCTTCTTTTGTCCCCAGACATCGCCGTCGTGGAAATGACGGATGCGTTCCGGCAGCCTTCCCTTTTCTACCACCTTGGAGTGAGGGAGAGCTTCAGCATGGCCAATAATATCATTTTATACTGTGACACAAACTCCGATTCGCTGCACTCCCTGCAGGTACACGTCCTAAAATCTTCCCTGTGACACCACATGCTGTGTTTTTCTAGATCACTTCTTCTTAACTTCAAAGTTAACAAGTGCCATTATCTACCGAACTGTATCTGTATTAATAATCCGTTAGGAGCAAGTGATGCACAGAACCCTCTCTGTTGGGGAGAAAAGTCCCTTGAAAGATGTCACCATTAATGATTCTTCATCATCGCAGATTAGATCATGTGTAATGCACAATCTTCATTTAAATGTTTTGACTATTTATTTATTCTATTTATTACTGTTTTGACTGATAAAGAGCCCCTTTATAAAGCTGTGAGCAAAAACAGGAACTGCAGGTTGAGAGCCTCCTTATGTAGAAGCGTAGGGAAGAGTGTTATTTGATGCATCCCAGAAAAAAAGGTGGAACGGGGTTAAAGAAAATGTTAGATGATTCATCTACAACAGGGCAAGCACAGAAGTAACAGAGCAGAAGTAACAAAGGTTGAATACTGAAGACAAAGTTAATTCATTTATTTGTAGTTGTCGTTGGCTTAATCTGCTTTGTTTTTGACGTTTAATTTTGCAACAGTTAAATCTTCCATCAGATCTGTTGGAGACCCCATGCACATAGACTAGTTTTGCACTAAAGTGCCTGAGTCTTAGCAGTGTTTCTAAATGTGAAGCATAAAGAACATGAAGTAAAGGTCTATTTAAACAACAAGGACATTTATACCTCTCGCTCTCCTATGAAAAATTCAATATAGAGTATACAAAAGTTAGTACAGTATGCCCAACCAGTATATCCAGTATAGATTATACCAGTTAGTACAGCATGACCAAAGCTTTTTTTGGTCAGGTAAAAAAAAGCTTGGTTTGATTTCACGATAATTTAACGGATTTTAACTTGTGGTCTTCCAACTATAGATTGTAAATCTGTAAAAAAACTAACTGAGCATTATGCACTGTAAAAACGTAGTCTTAAGCTCTAGGACAGCTTGAGTGGATACTTTGCATTCTGAGACCAGAATGTTGGAGGTGGAGAACTGTTCTTCAAAAGCAGCATCCAGCCACTGAAAACTATCCTAGATGAATCTGTGCTCGCAGAATCTACAAACTGCAAGGGTCAGACTTACATGTACCACACGGGCTATACTGTCTGAAGCATCATTCGGGCCACCAAATTCAGATCTCCATCACAGTGCTGTGTTGAATAATACGATCGGGGATGTCCATACATAGAAGAAATGGTTACCATGGGAGAGTTTATATTTGTATAGAAATCGAAAAAACATCTGCCTTACAACATGTTGGAAGGAAGAACTGGAGTCTATCCCAGCAGCAGCAGGGGCGGGGTGGGGTGCACCGGGGACAGGCTGCCGGTCCGTCTCGGAGCCGACCCACAGACTGAAACGCACACACTCGCAGTTTTACATGGTGTCAAAACGGAAGAGAGTTATGAACGGGTGAAATCTTAAACCAGAAAAAAAAGGCTAAAGAGTTTTAGACTGTTGTGTAACACCTGTAGTAAAATATAAGAAAGTACTCTGAAAGACTGGGATTATTTAATAAATGCAGAAAATAGGGTACATTTCTGAAGGAACAACTTCATCCCATTCCTAATCAGTATACACTGTCCTTAAAAAAAGAGATTTGTGGATGAAAGGTTTACTTTTCAACAAGATAATGAGGCTAAACTTAGATTGCTTAAATCAGATAGTTAAGCAACAGGTCTGTAATAATGGAAAGCTTGTCATGGTTGCAGTATAAATTAAGTAAATTAAGGTGCATGTGGACCATGCAAAAGTATTGGATATCTTGAAAGCACAAGAATCTAAAACATCTTATCAGTTGGACTGATTACATATTAATTTATATTATGGTGATTTCTCAGCAGTCATTTTCTACAATATATCATATTCCTCACCCTCCTTAACTAAGCATAAACGTGGGCTTTTGAGAACAGAGATGCATGAAATAAAATTGTTGACCATATAAAATGTGCAATTTTCCTTTAATTTACAGTTTCTGCTACTTCATTGTTATTTCTGAATCCTGTAGAACAACGATTCCTTTGTTTATTGATGTATTCACTTTTTGTCTTTTACAGGACATAATATGCCAGAAGAACACTGTGAGTATAAATGCATATTCTAAATTATATGGAATGTAGTAATTGTACGTTATACAGTTGTTATAATAGCGATTGCAGTTATTGAAAACAATTATTTTTATATTTATTTATTTTGTCTGCTCATAACATTTTATTGTTTAATATTATATACCCTGCGAAAAACCAAATGGATGCTTTTATTTCTGCTGGGTGTGGATGGATTGGGATGTCTGTCCAGAAGTTACGAGGCGCTGTAAAATCGATGTGGTCTAGTAACTGCAGATGGACGGTTCAGCAGTGACTCGTATGGATTACTGGTCCTCTGTCTGGCTGCAGTGTTTTCAGTCAAAGCTGCATTTCTCCTTCTTCCTCTGCCTTAGTTTTGCCGTTGACACTGTGAGTCACAATATGAAATTAAAGTAGAAAGCCTGACAGCGCACATTTGATCCTTTTCTAGAGCAGGTGGTGTATGAATGACTTAAACTTGGGCTCAAAAACGTCAGTTGTGCTCCTTCTATATTGACTGCCAAATTAAACCGTTAGGTCATCAACAATCACATTAATGATCCAAATTAAATTTGTTCTGGGGTTTCATAGATATACTTTTTTAATATATTTTACTCACCTTTTTGTTCTCCAGTATCCATCCTTTTGTGTTTTTATCGCAATCACTTTGAAAGGTTAACTTATCACTAAGTATTGGAGCATTCAGTTCTGTATTACATATTTTCTCTCTATTTCATAGTGTACTTGTACTATGAGAGCAATTGTGACTCGTGGTACCTGGTTTCACTTGTTTTGCTTCCACTAATTTTGCATTCAGTTTCTTAAATGTGAAACCTCACGTTAGTTTATTGTCTTGCATCCATCCCCAAAAAAGTATAAATGTAAAAATACTATCCGCTTCAAATGACCTGCATTTATAGGGAGACGCTATAGCAGTATGGCAGCTTACATTCCTTTAAAAGAGGTGGTTTTGGCACGTATTTGCCTTTTAATTTTATTAAAATGCATGGTTTCTTGGCTCTCACTCAGTCCCATTTTATAATAGTCATACAATTCAGAGATTGATGAAATGGAATCATTGTAGCAGTGATCTTCAGAAAACCTCCAGTTATGGAGATTTTGTTTGCCTGTGAAAGCCTGGGCTGAGTGATGTTAGTTTTTCAGCTTTAAATATACTTTTGAAGATATTTGAAAGATCGATTTGTGTATCGCATGGCTTCACACCATAAGGTTACTGCTGTCAAAGGGTATAATTTGTCCTTAATATGGCCCAGCAGGTGGGAGCTGTGCTAATTCACATTGAAAGCTTAGCTGAGGTAAGTGGCTTTACAGTGTGAAATAAGGTGGCTTGGTATTAAAGGGGCAGACAGCCTGGTTTAACATCCCCAGGCTTTTGTTGTGAGAAGTATTATGTTTTTTTTTTCCTTTTGTAAGTAGCCCCTGTAATGGAGATTGCACATATAGGTTAGTTCTTGATTGTTTTTTCGGTAAGTGTTTCAAAATAGATCAGACTTTTAAACTGGCACTTTAAATGAATATACAGTTGTATAAACGAGAAAACTATAAACAGAAATTAAATAGAGTGGCTGACCGGCAAAAGAGGATTTCTCATTTCAGATGTAAGTTAGCCGGTATTTATAATAACATTTTATAATTGACAATAACGAGGTGTAAGGTTTTTAACGCGTGCTTTGAGATTAGGTTTAGTGAGCACCAAAGAGACTGGGGTGAGTAATTGACAGTCAGTGAAACTAAAAGTTGTGAGCTTCAATCCCCTGTGTTCTGTAATGTACTTTTGATGCTATTCTAAGGAAAATGCAGTAACTGCAAAAGCATCTTCTGAAGTTTTCTGATGATCTTCTCAGATCTGTGCTTGTCAAGATACCATCTTTTGGACTGTACCACTTCTTCAGGCTGTGCGTTTGCCTGGTTGCACCTGGTGATCAGTGGCACCTTGTCACCCTTGAAAGCCTTCCTTCAACGGTTCAAAGAGTGAAAATGCACTGGGGCTACACCCTGAGCGTGAGGAAGTCATAATGCTGATGAGGCTGAAACATTTCAATACTGTTGTGTACTCCTGCACACAGGCGCCACCTTTTCGAAGTTCTTGTGGTTGCTCCTGTATTAAGAAGTATTATTATTTATCATATTTCACATTACCAAGCAGTAGAAGCTTTTCTCTGCCCCCCTCCACAGATTAACACAAAATATTTACAAAACCCTACTTTATTAGTAGGAAGAAAGTGTCAAGAGAATGACCCCTCATGACGTTCTTGTTGCTCCGCTGATACAGAATCCCTGTGAATATGCGGCATGGAATTGCATTTCAGGTTTAGCAGCAGAACTCATCACATGCATTTTGTCTGCCGTTACACACGTTATTTTGTTACATTTTTTATGGTGACAGTCAAATTATTTAAGGTTTCTGTCACATTGTCAAACTCATTCTCAGCAATTGCCTATGCTGCCTTTGTAGAAATCTTTATTTTGCTCCAATCTTTTGCATTTTAATTATTTCAAAAAGCCATTCTCCTTTTATCAATAAGTATGAGCCACTTGAATGTTGATTTTGCCAAAATGTCTGACCTTCCTTAAGTATCGCTCTGGTGCTGGTGAAGTGAAGATTCTGGCTTCTTGGCCACCATTAACTTCACTAGAAGGTCACTTTTATATCCGATGTTGGATTAAGTGCAGATAGGGGGCATTTTTGTAAAGCATTTTTTGGGGATTATAAATGTATCTGTTTAACAGAATCCCTGTGATTATGTGGCACAGAATTGCATTTCCATTATATACAGCTCCTTATTAGGAGCAGCAGTCACCCTGCATGGTTTTTCAGTGTCAGTTTTTTTTATAATTCATGAAGGAGCTGAATGGTAATGAAGGAGCTGAATGGTAATTAGGCCTAACAGTCCAGTAAATTGACTGGGAAGTAATGGAGAAGACAATTGTTCTTTAAGTTTGTGTATGCCTAAGCCTTTGCCAATCTCCCAGACATTTACAAAATAAAAACACTTTTACTCCTGCTTTAATAATAATTGGATCAAAACGATCAGGGTTGCTTGAGTACATACAGCACTTAGGAAGCCGGCACCTCAGATCCTGTATTCACTTTTGAAGACTTGTGTAGTTCGTAAAACACCATTGTGGTTCTTATTGCCGTTGCCTAACACCTTGACATACTGTGTGTTACATCAAGGGTTGTGACTCCACACTTGATAAAATGGGCACATATTTGTCCGGGAGAATCCCACAACATGGTCAGAATGACCTCACCCGAGCGTAGCTGTGAAAACACCACACAGCTCTCAGGCAGCCATTGATACTTAAAATCTGGATTACGTTCATCTTAGAGCCCAGATTCGCCCAGCAACCAGAACGCTGTGACTGGTATGGTTTTGGGAACCTTATGAGTTTTTGGAATGCATAACATACAGTATATGTCCACTTGTTCCTTTTTTTCTTGTAATCTTGAAACACCTTTGTAATTATACCATTAATTTAGAAGTACCAACAGACCGTGCATTTCGTATTTCAGTCATTGCTTTCAAGATTGATCTTGTTTGTGGTTTTTTGTGCTTGCACTTTTACCACATGCTTGTGTGTTTGATTGTATTTGCAAAGAAGGCGATGCTAGAAGCTTTTTGGACCCACTGAGTTAATCAAGAGATGTTGAAAACATTCTTTTGCAGGAAAGCATTATTTTAAGATGAGAAGCATTTTCTGCTCAAACTCCGTTCAGTGGAAAGGCAGGGTTAAAAATAGAACTGGAGTTTCCTAATCAGTAAACATAAAAAACTGTCATGAGTTATTTATAAAAACATCCCTTATGAAACAGAAGAGCGAGTGTGAAGTATGAGAAATCATTTGTCTAGAAATTAGTGCCTTTGTACATAGTGGGATTTACTTTGTAACTTTATTAAGCATGTATTATTTTGTGTGTATTTTTTAAAAAGTGCATCATTCATCTAATACCGTAAAAGAAAATGGTAAATAATGTGGTTCCCAGGCCAGGTCTTTCATTTTTAAAAATGCAAAAGAAAGTACAGTGAGTTTCAGAAAAGCTCAGAGAGGCACAGCTGTTCAGTGAAGGAAATGGCGACCGTTGCATAAATTTATGAAAGAAAAACTTGGGCATAGATGTCTCGTGTTATAAATGTTGCTTAAAATGTCATATGCAAAAAATTCACAAGAAGCTAAGCGCTTTGTTTTGAATTCATTTCCATAAGCACCCAAGTGTATTTTACCCAAAATAACATGAGGCATTAAGCACTTAGTAAAAAAACAAAATGCTTTGCAC